CATCCCAGCCTCATTGAGGTCTAGAATGCTCTCTCTGCATGAGGGACATTCAGGCATAGTAAGGATGAAAACGCTTGCATGCAGCTATCTCTGGTGGCCTGGGCTTGATAAAGCCATCGAGGCCCAGGTACACGGGTGCCAAGTGTGCCAGCAGTCAAGACCTGAAATGCCTCAGGCCCCAGTACATAGGTGGAAGGAAGCACAAACTCCGTGGTCACGGGTACATATAGATTACGCTGGGCCCTTTCGGGGCAATTCTTCCTTCTCCTTGTTGACAGCCATTCCAAGTGGCTAGAGGTTGTTCCTGTTTCCTCCACTACTACTGCCAGGACCATCCAGGTGTTGAGAGGGATCTTCACCTCACATGGACTTCCAGATGTCCTGGTTTCAGATAATGGCCCCCAATTTACCTCTTTTGAGTTCCAGGTTTTTCTTCAGGCCAACTTGATCTGGCATGCGACTTCTGCTCCCTTCCACCCTTCTTCCAATGGCCAGGCAGAGAGGATGGTGCTTACTACCAAAGATGCTTTAAAGAGACTCATGGCAGCTGGCATCACAGGTTAGCTGATTTCCTTCTCGCACATTGCATCACATCTTGCACAGCCACAGGGAAGAGCCCAGCAGAACTCCGCTGGGGTCACCGCCTCATCACGAAACTGGTTGCACCCAGACAGGGTGGCTTCATAGATGTCACAGCCGCGGGCACCTAGGAGACTACAGGTGGGCAATACAGTCTGGACAAGGAATTATGGCCCTGGACATCTCTGAGTCACAGAAGTGGTATGCAAGATCTCTGGGCCGCTGTCATACGAAGTGGCCTTGGACGATGGGCATGTCATCAGACGATACATTGACCAACTGCATTGGAGGCTCTCCAGCAACGTTTCTGCGCCTGGCTCTACTCTTGGGGGGAGGAGGACCATAATTTGCATTCTGGGCCACAGTCTCCCATCTCCAGCAGTTTCTCACATGCTAAAGCACATGTTCCAGTGATAGAAAGGGGTCATCCCGCACATCAGTTATTGCTCCAGACAGGGAGTCTCCAGAAAGGGGGTCATCCCACACTTCAGCTAGTGCTCCAAACAGGAATTCTCCTGAAAGGGGGTTTGCCATGGAGGCGGCTCCTGACTCTGGCACCTCCGACACATACACGGGGGCCACGGGGTATTGGGGCACATCCGCCACTCAGGCCACTCCAGCTGTTGGTCTCGGGCTCGAGGGACAGTGCTCCCAAGAGGAGTCCATTGTGGACTTGGGGAATACCACCCCACCTCGGGACTTGGGGAATTTCACCCCCCCAAGGAACTCTGGCTAGGGCTTAGAGGGTCCAGCCAATCAGCAGCTGGGTGGGGTATCTGAGCTTTTGGAGCATCAAAGTCCTGGTCTGCCTAGCCTGGCAAGCGAGCTGGCAGGCCAGGCACATTCACCGGCCATCAGAAGGTCACAGCAGGCCAAGGGCCCATCTAAACATCTTGAGGACTATGTGAGGTTTCTGTCAATTCTAAGGGAACTTTGCTGGTCCTTAACAAGATGCAGTTCTAACACTCAGTAAGGGGTGTTATCCTCAGGATATTATTAGTTGTATTTTCTTTTGAATAATTATAATGTATGAGTGTTCTGCCTGTGTGCAGACAAACTGTGATTTCCATTAACCCCCAGTCCCTTGAACACATATACCTATGCTGTTACATCATAAGGTATATTGTTTTATCTAGGGGGGAGAGATGTTGTGTCCTGAAGCATTCAGCAGACTCAGAAATGTTGCAAATGGTCCCGGGCAGACCAAAAGCTGCCTGGGACCAGACTGGCTGTCACCAGCCTTGTGCGCATGCGCAAGGCAGGAAACAGCCAGATTCCTATTGGCTGATACTGTCCGGGTTCAGGACAGTGTAAAAGGCCTGCATGTCTTTTTGGTGGTAACTGGTTGTAAGGAGGAGTCAATAAAGAAAGCTTGGTGTTCACCATGTGTCTTTGTTTAATGCCTGCGACCCAAAAACATAAAACTTACTGCAGAAAAATAATCAGCACAAATTTCTAAAATGGATTTGGCTGTCTCATGGAATAGTTAAGCTCAGCCTGGATATTTGTAAATACAGTAAAGTTTTATAAAATACCACAACCTGAAAGATCCCTTCCCAATAAAACTAAATCCAAACCAGAAGTACTTTCTTCTTGTTATAATAACAACACAGCAACCGAGAGTAAATCTCTAATTATCACATTCATCTCCTAGCACATATTATAAAATTTGCTGAATACTTGAAAGGGCTTTCAGAAGTTTTCTAAGGATCAAACCACAGATGAATCAAGTCTCGATACTAATGTTTATTTTTTTTTTCCTGAAAAGCATTTTCAGAGGTTCAAAATCTTATTGGAGAAGGACAAGCTGCAAGAAGTTGAATAAATTCCCACGACAGAGCTGCTGTTGGCACAGATAGTTATGATTCCTGTTTTCTTCTCTAGTGGGTCCAATACACATTTTAGAGTATTATTGTACTATAATAAAGGCTCAACAAGAAATATGTGACCATATACATAGAAATGCGACATGTACATTGTAGCAACTGTTTTAAAATAATGGTTTATGAAATATAGTTGGCTAGGTCCGCATAAGTAGCTAAGCCTTAATCATGGTTACTAACCAAAGCAGGTGACATTACATATTATGTCAAGATAGTTTTTAAAATCAATAAACCACACTTGCAAGGATAGCACAGTACACAAAACCAGCTAACCACATTAAAGTTTAATAAATTGCATAGCTGTGAAATGTTCCCTCTCTGATCAAGCGCAGATTCTTACAGACATTTTATCAAGTAGCAATTCCAAAATATCAAGAGATCGGATCATGGGTCTGCTCTGTCATTCTCATGCCCATTTCAATATTCATGTGTTAAACAAGAAACTGCATGTTTTCCGACTGACCTTGCTTCGGTGATCTTGTTTCAAGTCAACTGAACTTTTATGCATTCAGAAATAAATAATGCCCCCTGTGGAGTCATGTGGAACTGTCTCAAAGAACTGGCCATCCAAGCAGGTTGAAGGGCACGGCAAGCCCTGCAGCCAGTCAGGGATGGTATTTGGGAAGAGAAGAGACTTCATTAGATCCAAAACTTTCAATGTCAGGTTAGCTTGGAATATCTTAGCAATGCCAAGGAAGACATCCTTTGACTTTGCTCACAAGTGAGAAGTGCCTTTCTGCTTCCACTTGTACCTACAATATTAATGATAAATGGAAAATATGAGAGTATATGATGCAACAGACTGACTGGGGGAATTATGGGAATTGAAGTCCACAAAGCTTAAAGTTGCAGAAACAAAATCACTGGACTAGACCAGACATGTCAAACTTGCAACGTCACGTGACGTCACGCAACGTATCAGAGCTTTTTCGGCATTGCCGGCAATGGGGTGGGCGCGGCTCTGGTATGATGAAACCGGCCCATGGGCCGGCAGTTTGACACCCCTGGACTAGACTATTAGTCTGGGAGGGTCTGGCTCAATTTTTTTTTTTTTGATGATGATGATGAAATTCAGCAGTTTCATAGCTACTAAGCCAAAACCACACGCACATATTGTGTGAATCCAACCATCTTGTTTTCTATACTGTGCTTTATGGTTCAGCATGGAGTTTAAACCCAGCCAAATGTGGCTTATTTGATAATGATTAAGCAAACCATGCTTAATCATTATCAATGATTAATGGTGTGCTGCATTAATCAGACAAGTAAGTGGCTCTAGGCAAATCATCCTCTCTTAATTACAGGCTTCCTGCTGTTGCAAGTATTATTCACTTAGTTTACGAGGTAGCAAGAATTCCGGTAGAAGAGCGTCTTGATCACTAGGAACATAAAGACTACCCTACTATATCACACCACAACTTTCCAGTGATCAACCAGCTGTCTCTGAAGTTCTTGTTCCTCCCTCTCCCCATTGTTCCTCTGATGCGCCTCCATGCCAAGATACCCAATGACTTTCAAAACTATCCAAATCTGTGGCTACTGCTGTACCTCATAATACTTTAATTATATGGTCTATAAAGAAGCCCTTGCTTCTTTCTTTTCTAAATCTCCTCAGTTTTACTGGGTGACCTCTGACCCTAATGTCTTAAGAGTTAGGGTTTTCCTATGCCCCATGCCATTTTCATATACTCAGTCAGGCGCCTTCCTCCTTTTTTCAAGTTCAAATATTCCAGTTTTTTCTTTTCTGGCAGAAAGAATGTTTGATTCCCCAAGATCATTTGGGTGTTCTCTTTTGCACTTTTTTTTTAAAGCTTATTGTATCCTTTTTAAACCTGGCAGTCAGAACTATATATGGTATTCCGGCTGTAGACATAAATTTGTGTTATTGCTTTACCAAGTTGACAATTTTCAATCCATTTTCTTGTGGTCCTTAACATGGAATTTGATATATTGCATTACAATGTTGGCAATTTTCAGTCCTTTTCCTTGTGGCCCTTAATGACGGAATTTGATTTCTTTCACCAGTGTTACATATCGAGTTGACATTTTCACTGAGTTCTCCATTTGAGGCCAATACCCTTTTTCAGTTAGTCACAAGCAGCTTAAATCATCTCTGGGTTTATGCAAAGTTAGGGGTTTCTGCTCCACTGGGGTATCATATTACACTTATTTAAACTGGATCATAGCTGCCATTTGACCATTCAGTCACTTCATAATTATGTCCCGTCTTCACCACCTTGTTTATAATCATATCTGCAAACGTGGGCAACTTGTAGGTCACACAAAATCATTCCCGCTCCTGTTCCCACCCCCAAAATTGGGAAAAGTTCCCATCCATTCTTATTCTGTGCTTTCTGATTTTTAACCCATTATCAATCATTAAAAGGAGGGGTCTTCTTATCCTAGGAAGATGAGATTTATTGAGTTCAGAGGATGGACACTACGAGGAACACATTGTCCAACATTATTTTATTGTTTTATCTCTTTCGCTGATTTTGGAGGGTGAGAAGGAAGGGGGGGGGGAAATACACAACTCACCAGCTCTTGGTAGAGGAGATATTGCAGGGTGTCACTTTCTCTGGTTCTTTTGCTTTCTTGACCTTCACTTGTGGGCGCTCGTGATCAGGACTCCAATCCTGGATAGCAGGAGAGGAGAGGAAGAAGGGAAAATGTCAAATCTGAATTTAGGCTGCATTTCTTGACAGCATCTCATTCAGAATGAAAAAGAAGAAGAAAAGTTGAAACGGGTTAGGAATCAAAAGGGCAGCCTTGCGATATGCAGAACTTTGTTGATATTTATACTTCCTTGGGTAGCTGGATCTGTCAGTTACTTGCAGGAAGTCTCTAATCACCACAGCACAAAAAGCATTGTAATATTTTGGAGATAGGTGAAGTGGGTTTTCCAGCAAGAAATTATTTCAAGAGATAGATGGCTGCTAGTCTAAAGGAGAAACATAAAATCTGCCCTTCCAAAAAAGGATCGAAAAATGTATGGAACTTTAATAAAGTAATACATTTCCCCTGAGAAAAAGTTTCCATCCAAACATGCGGGGCAATTTGTTTATTATTATTTTTTAGTGCCCCCAACAATTTTCGGTACAGGTAGTCCTCAACGGATGACCACAGCTGAGCCCAAAATTTCTGTTGCTAAATGAGAAATTTCTTAAGTGAGTTTTGCCCCATTTTATGACTTTTCTTGCCACATTTGTTAAGTGAATCATTGCAGTGGTTAAATTAGTAATGTAGTTGTTAAGTGAATCCGGTTTCCCCATTGACTTTGCTTGCCAATAGGTTGCGAAAGGGGATCACATGACCCGGGAATATGCAAACCTCATAAATGTGAGTTGTCAAGCATCTGCATATAAAACATGTGACCATGGGGATACTGCAACAGTTGCCCGTGTGAAAAATGGTCATAAGTCACTTTTTCAGTGCTGTTGTAACGTCAAACGGTCACTAAAGTGAACTGTTGTAAGTCAAGGACTACCTGCATTATTTTGCAATTTGGCTTTTTACTTGTTTTATGTGGAATACAGGTAGACCTCAGATTACAACCATTTATTTAGTGATCATTCAATTAAGTTGGTGCTGAAAAAAGTGATCTACAACTGGTCCTTGCACTTATGACTGTTACAGTGTCTTCATGATCAAAACTTGGGCACTTGGCATGTATTTACGACAGCTGCAGTGCCCCAGAGTCATGTGATTGCCATTTGCAACTTTCCCAGCCAGCTTCCGACAAACGAAGTCAATGATGGAAGCTTGTGATCCATTTAATGACCCTGCAAAAACAGTTGTAAAATTGGGCACATTTGCTAGCCTCACTTAGCAATGCACGTTTTGCTCCCAATTATGGCTGTAGGTTGAGAACTACCTCTGGTGACTATTTCTCAGAAGCCATTAATATTTCTCAAAGACAATTAATCAGTGGAACGGCTTTCCTCCGGAAGTTGTGGGTGCTCCATGATTGGAGGTTTTAAATAGGGCCCAGGGGTAGGCAACCTTGGCTCTTTTATGACTCATGGACTTCAATTCACAGAATTCCTGAGCCAGCATGAAATAGGCATTGGATAGCCATTTGTCCAGAATGATGTAAAGTCTCCTGATCGAGTAGGGAGTTGGACTAGATCTACAAGACCTCCAAGATCCCTTCCAACTCTGTTATTCTGTATTCCATATAAATAGGTTCCTGAAGCCTTCCTTCAACCGGGCTCCATTTGCCAGACTATACAAAATGCTGGAGAAGAACATAGGTGTAAGATTTTTGCACTATTATAACTTAGGTGTCTTTTATATTCCATTTGGTGTTAAGAATTTTTTTTACAGTAAAATCCCATAATTTACCTTGAAAGAAATACAAAGGCAAACAGTATAATTAAGTAAATCAGCCTGAAGGGCCTGGAGATCCTTAAACCGAGCTGTGGGGTTTAGCTCTAATTTTTAACTCATAATCTAATTTTTAGGGCACTAAGCCATAATTGTTAAGAGGTATAAATAGGATGTTAAAAAAAAGTAAAAATCTTTACTTCTTCCAAGATATTTCTGGTAACTTGTCAAAAAAGGTACAAATGAGCTTACGTTGTTATCAAATAATCTGAAATATTTCCCTAGCTATCAGCTGAATGTTTTGTCACAGAGGATGTTTAAAAACAGTAGTAGGTTATCAACCTGAAGGCTCTGAAGAAAAAGAATTCTTTGTTTCTGAGGGAAAAAGCAGCATGGAGAAGTGAGATTATCTGGATTTAGAATCAACTGAACAGTGGATTCCTTTTTTTTTTTACTGGGAACTACAGATAGTCCTTGATTTATGAATACAATTGAGCCCCAAATTTCTGTTGCTAAGTGAGACATTTGTTAAGTAAGTTTTGCCCCATCTTACGACCTGTCTTGCCACAGTTGTTAAGTGAATCACTGCAGTCATTAAGTCAGTAACATAGTTGTTAAGTGAATCTGGCCTTTCCATTGACTTTCCTTGTCAGAGGTTGCAAAAGGGGATCACATGACGCCCAGGACACTGCAGTCGTCATAAATATGAGTCAGTTACCAAGTGTCTGAATTTTGATCACGTGATCATTGGGGATGCTACAATGGTCATGTGAAAAATGGTCATAAGTCACTTTTTTCAGGGCCGCTGTAACTTTGAGTGGTCACTAAATGAACTGTTGTAAGTTGAGGACTATCTGTATCACTATGTTGGGACATTTTTTTTTATGTGCATAAATGGAAATCGGAAAGAGTCCGAGAACATGCAGCATGCTCTTCTCCTACCATTAAAGAAGAAATGCTTCTCACCTCAAATTTTGGCCAGTTCATAGGCATTCCTGGGCCATGTCGGTTACGCCACCACTTAAGATCCTCTTGGTCATTTATCTCTTCAATGGCCTGATGCAAATCACTATAAACAGCTTGGACACTGAAGAAAAGGAGAAATAGAGATGAGATTATCGTGCATACAATTGTGCACAGATGCAGAAAACGTTCCCACTTAGGCACAATGTGTACAGTATAAGTCTGATCCCAGATGCTGCCCTCAGGGCGGTTACCAATATTGTGAAACTGATTTACAGGTTTTTACAGGATGTACTGAGTTGCAGCATTTGCCTCATGGAATTCTACTGAGCTTTCCAACCATTTTTATTTATGTATGTATGTATATATCCAAAAGAGAACGATTGAACAGTCTTACGTTTTGATTGATAGCACAACCTGGTGCTTTTCAGGAAAGTTGGCTACAAGGCAAGGCAGGCTAGATTGAAGGATGTAAGAAAAAGAACCAGATGGGTGGGGGGAGAATGGAGGTGCATATTTTGGGAATAGATAAGATTTTCCCCAGGGAGATGCCAAGGTATAGCTTAGCTAGTTCCCATTCTAAAGGTCAGGCCATGAAATGGGAGATAGCATAGAATGGAGGCTTTTCTTGGTAGAAATGGTGAAGGCAAGAACAGCTTAGGCACTGATTGTCATGGAGAAAACCTCCCTATGTGGTTACTAAGCAGAATGGGATTACTTGCCTTGGCCAATTTGCCCCAGCCAACTCACCCCGCCTGACTTGCCCGGGCTGTCTTCCTGCAACTGACTCACCATGGCCAACTTCCTATGGTCAACTTGCCATGGGAGAACTCGCAGTGGGACAATTCAGTATAGGATAACTGAAGAGAGGGACAAGAGGGATAAGAGACTTGAACTCTGGCTCACTCCAGCCTCGATCACTTCTAACTTGAGAAGGTTCAAACCTAAAGTTGTCCTAGAGCCATCATTAAGAGTTGGACTTGATAGTGCATAATTGATCACATAATCAACTAGCAGTGAGGTTTCGTCTATGAAAAATTTCATCTATGAGAAGTTGAGAAGTTGGGAGAGGTAGCTCAAGGATAAGAAGTTTGGATAAGAGAGAAAGGAAAAGGGGAAATGGAAGACTTACCTAAGCCTTAACACTAAGGGATTGTCAGGTCCCCAAATCCTTATCTGTCTCCCTTTCATATATACATTCTTGTGCTTTGCTTTGGGGCCTGCCATTTAGCTGGGGGGAAGAGGGATGTTTGCTTTTGTTTGGGATAACTTTCACTTTCTGCTTTCCTTTTTCCACCTCTATCCACTTGAAAAGGGATATGTCTCCCTTATCAGGGAGACGGTTACAGAGAAACAAAAGCTGAGAAGACATTGAGATGCACGCCAACTGTACCAGTTACCTGTTCATTGTGCCACCTGTAGATTGGCTGGATTTCAAATGGACATTATAACTTTGGTGGGAGGAGGAAGCCCCAAAAGTCACTCTTACCCGAGGTGGAGGGAAGAAAAAAGCAAAGAAGAAATATCCAGAACCTGCCCCTCCTGATAAAGAAGGAGAAACTTTATGTCCCAGCCACTTTAAGACGTAAAGTAATGCAAGCTGGGCATGACTCAAAAACTGCTGGACATTTTGGATTTGTAAAAAACTTACATCTCATTAAAAGACAGTTTTGGTGGCCTGCTTTGAAAAAAGACATAGAAAGCTATGTAGCCAGCTACTTCACATGTGCAGCAGCTAAATCCCCAAGATTGCTTCAACCAATAACAAGTCCGTCAGCACTTGGAGAGAGATCTCTATGGATCTTATTGTAGAGCTGCCAGAAAGTGCTGGAAACACTGTAATTTGGGTCATAACCGATATATCTTTTTCATGAGGCCCCACAACGTATAATTTCAGACAGAGTTCAATTCACCTCTAAATTCTGCAAAGCTTTTCTAGACTTGATGGGTTCTAGTCAAGGGCTATCAACTTCGCACTATTCGCAAATGAATGGGGGGGGGGAGAGAGATTGAACTCAGCTCTAGAACAATACCTAAGATGTTTCATTAATTATCAGCAAGACAATTGGTCTGACCTGTTACCATTTGCTGAGGTGGCTTATAACAATGCTGTGCACTCCAGTACAGGTTTTACTCCATTTCAAATAGCTAATGGTCAAGCATTTGTGGCTACGTCTGAACTTCCTGTCAAGGAGTCTGAAATCTCCTCCTTGCAAGAATGGATTAAGCAATTACAAAATACCTGGCCAATAATCAGGAAAGCTCTGGATGAAGCCAGAGAAGCTTATAAGACTCAGGCCAATAAACGGAGGGTGGAGCAAAAACCATATAAAGTTGGAGACCGAATATACCTCTCCACGAAGTATTTGCAATCTTTACAACCTTCTAAGATATTAGGGCCTAAATTTGTCGGACCTTTCTCTATCAAACGCATCATCAATCCTGTGACAGTTGAATTGGACTTGCCAAAGAACCTTCGGAAAATACACACCGTTTTCCATTGCAGTTTACTCAAGCCAGAAATCACTTCTCACATTAGGCCTCCTGCTCCTCAGGCACCTACACCTATCATGGTTGAGGGTGAACAATACTTTGAGATTAAGGACATTTTGGACTCTCAAATACATCATGGGGTGACACAATACTTAGTGGCTTGGAAGAATCTCTCTTCTGCCCAGAATGAGTGGGTGTACAAGAGACATGTTAGAGCCCTTAAACTTCTTAGACGTTTCCATTCCCAATATCCTGATAAGCCAAATTAATGTGTATATATTGTTGTCCCCCCCCTTTTTGTCTTTTAGGTGGATTTTCCATTCTTTTAGGGAGGTATGTTAGGTCCCCAAATCCTTATCTGTCTCCCTTCCATATATATATTCTTGTGCTTTGCTTTAGGGTCTGCCATTTAGCTGGGGGGAGGAGGAATGTTTGCTTTCGCTTGGGATAACTTTCACTTTCTGCTTTGCTTCTTCCACCTCTATCCACTTGAGGAAGGGATATGTCTCCCTTATCAGGGAGACAGTTACAGAGAAATGAAAGCTGGAGAAGATCTTGAGATGCGCATCAACTGTACTAGTTACCCGCTCATTGTTCACCTGTAGATTGGCTGGATTTCCACTGGACATTATGATTTTGGTGGGAGGAGGAATATTGCTGGTTTAATTATACCGTTCAAGCAAGATTTTCCCCAGATCTCGCCTTGACTTCCCTACTGTCACTAGCCCCTAATAAAAGTTTCCTTTTGAGACAAAGCCTGTTTCAAGAGTTCTGCTTTCTTGGGTGGTTAGCTGAAGTGGGTCTTTACAGGGGTTTAGGACAACTCGCTGCAGCTGACTCACTGTGGCCAACTTGCCTCAGCCGTCTCATCCCGGTCAATTTGCTTCAGCCAACTCACTGTGTGACAGTTCACTGTGGGACCATTGATTGTGGGATAACTCAAGAGAGGGACAAGTGAATTTACAGCTGCTCATGGAGAGATAGACTAAAGGGAATGAAGGAAACATCAGGATATCTGGTGATCAAAAAAATCAAGATGATGGTTTGACTATACAATTAAAGTGGGCATCTTGTCTTTTTTTTATCCCTCCTCAATGGTCACCCTTGGCTTTACTCCTCCATCTAATGGCAAATGTTGGTACTGTACATCTGGAGGAGTGAATTCGTCCATTTTTAGCTAGTAATCCATATCTGACATCCGTTAGGATAAAGAGTGTAGTAGATCATTGTTTCTCAGCCTTAGCAACTTTAAGATATGCTGATTTCAACTCTCAGAATTCCTCAGTCAAGCATGAAGTAGATAAATTGCATAAATAACTAAGAAAAATGCCCCTGGTGTTCAATAATGGCCATTTTACCATCCCTTTCAATGTGCAATGGCTTCTTTCATGAGAGAAAATACTGCTGTATGAAGTTTAATACCAACTTATTCATTTTAACAAAGTTATCTAAACAATAACTCAGCTGTATGAGTTATATAGCACACAAGATGTAATGGAATGTTGTTAGAATCACAGGAGGGAAAGGCCACTTTCCAGAGAGCAAAAGGGCAATGAAGTCTGGTAGGCAGGAAGAGGGCAAAAAAGGACTCTCTCTAGCAGTTCACAGAGTATATCTATAGCTATGCAGATTGTGGTTTTAATCTGTCTGTAGGCCAACAATAATAAAAAAACTATAAAGAAATAACTCCACATATTATTCTTGGGATGATGCAAGACTCCTTTTTCCACACCTGGAATCTGCAGAAACATCAAGACGCCGATGCAGGGCGAGGAAGGCACTTTTGAGGAAGACAATCCGTCTCTGCTCCAGAGCCTGTCCCTGCTCAAACACAGACTCCATTTCTTCCATGTAGCGAGGACTGCAACGGTCAAGCTCCTTCAGAGCCTTCTCATAGCGTTCCCGGATCTGTTGACCAGAGCCAAGAAAATTCATATGCTTTCAGATTCTCCTATCTTTGGGATCCCCATCCCTAAGCATACAGTATCTCTTGGACAAGGCAATGTTCCTTCACCTGCAGGCCACTCCTTGTGGCCCATAGTAACCAGACGGGTTTGTTTTGCTGCATTGCAGGGAGAGGGAGGAAGAAACTCATCCTCTTTGAGGAGCTGAATATGATTTATGAGTTAGCTCCTGCCTTAGACCAGGGAACCTGAATGACTATAGGATGTAGACAGAGATCAGTGTTTGTGGGTGTTAGAATATGTACTCCCACTCAAATCGCATCATAACACTTCAAATTAAATAAGCATTTAATATCTGTGTGTGTGTGTGTGTATCTCTGTAATTGCTGAATGTTTACAAGTTCATCAAATCTCACAAGATTCTGATAGTCTCTTGAGATTTCTGAGAGCTTGTGAGATCTTGGGATGAGGTTGCCAATACTTGGTAATATTTGGGGCAATTTTGGTGGGGACACTAACTTTTGTATAAAATGTTTTATCTCTGATATTTGTTATATATATATATATATATATATATATACATACACACACACACACACACACACACACACACACACACACACACACGTAGGTCTTTGGTTGTTCGGGTTTTCTCCCACATAAAATTGGAAGTGTCTTGGCGACGTTTCGACGAAGTCCCATTCGTCATCTTCAGGCTGGTGTTTTCAGCTTCGTGCTTCGAGCAGCAATGTGTGGTCTTAGCTGTTTCTTCCTTTTAACTGCCAGTGGGGGTATGAACTGATTGGGTGGGAGCTTGGCTGTGGTCTGATTGGGTGGAGGTGTGTTCTAATTGGTTAGAGGCTTGGCTGTGCTCTGATTGGCTGGGGGGTTGGCTGTGCTCTGATTGGCTGGGGGGTTGGCTGTGCTCTGATTGGCTGGGGGAGTGTTCTGTTTGGTTGTGCTCAGGTTAGTCTGAGTTGCGGGGGGGGGTTAAGATTATGGGCTGCCTTGCTATTTTTTGGCTTCGCGTTCGTGGTCGTGCTTCATCTTCATGGAGGATGTCAGTTTGCTTAATGTATGGATTGGAAGGGTTTAAAGTGGCTAATGATGCAGCTGTGGTCTGGCTTCTGGTTTGTGGTCGTGCCTCATCATCGGTGTGGCTTTGGGTTTGCTTTTTGCGTGGATGCAAAAAGCAAACCCTGCATCATTAGCCACTTTAAACCCTCCATGAAGATGAGGCACGACCACGAACGCGAAGCCAAACAGAACACTCCCCCAGCCAATCAGAGCACAGCCAACCCCCCAGCCAATCAGAGCACAGCCAACCCCCCAGCCAATCAGAGCACAGCCAAGCCCCTAACCAATTAGAACACACCTCCACCCAATCAGAACACAGCCAAGCTCCCACCCAATCAGTTCATACCCCCACTGGCAGTTAAAAGGAAGAAACAGCTAAGACCACACATTGCTCCTCGAAGCACGAAGCTGAAAACATCAGCCTGAAGATGACGAACGGGACTTCGTTGAAATGTCGCCAAGACACTTCCAATTTTACGCGGGAGAAAACCTGAACAATCAAAGACCTACATACAAACACCCGCGAAAACCTCAGAAAACACACACACACACACACACACACACACACACACACACACACATATATATATATGTATGTATATATGTATGTCTTTGGTTATTTGGGTTTTCTCCCACATAAAATTGGAAATGTCTTGGCAACGTTTTGACGAAGTCCCATTCGTCATCTTCAGGCTGGTGTTTTCGGCTTCATGCTTCTAGGAGCAATGTGTGATCGTAGCTGTTTATTCCTTTTAACTGCCAGTGGGAGTATGAACTGATTGGGTGGAAGCTTGGTTGTGTTCTGATTGGGTGGACGTATGTTCTTATTAGTTAAAGGCTTGGCTGTGCTCTGATTGGATGGGGGGTTGGCTGTGCTCTGATTGGCCATGCATTCTCACTAATGTACTAACATCCAACGATTCCAAAGAAATAAGATTACCAACCTAATCGAAAAAGAAACCCCCACTAAAATCCAAGACAGAGAACAAGAAAACGGCAAAGCCCTCCTCCCATAAATAAAAGGCACTACAGACAGAATCAGCAAGATCCTCCACAAACACAACATCAAGACAGCATTCTGCACAAACAGAAAAATATCCACCATCCTAAGAAACCCCAAAGACAAAATCAAATTAGAAAATCAAGGAGTATATGAAATCCCATGGACTGCTTGCCCCACCGCATACATCGGACAAACCAACAGAAGAATAAGTGCACGCATTGAAGAACACAAGAACTCAGTCAAAAAAGAGGAACCAACTTCTTCCCTGGTCCAACACCTTAAAGCTACTGGACATGAATTTGACTTTAAAAAGACCAGAACTATCGCCAAAACTGAACATTTTAATAACAGAATAATCAGAGAAGCCATTGAGATAGAAAAATGACCACACAGCCTGAATAAACGAGATGATACCTCCTGCCTACCAGCCATTTGGAAACCCGCCCTTATTGACAAATGAGTCCCTAACACAAAGAATGACACCAAACCCACACTCATGAAAACCACCCAGGATGTCACCACCACACATCCACGCAAAAAGCAAACCCAAACCCACACCGATGATGAGGCACAACTACAAACCAGAAGCCAGACCACAGCTGCATCATTAGCCACTTTAAACCCCTCCAATCCATATATGAAGCAAACTGACACCCACCATGAAGATGAGGCACGACCACGAATGCAAAGCCAAATAACAGCAACGCAACTCACCATCTCAAATCCCCCTGCAACTCAGACCAACCTGAGCACAACAAAGCCCCCACCCAAACAGAACACTCCCCCATCCAATCAGAGCACAGCCAACCCCCCATCCAATCAGAGCACAGCCAAGCCCTAACCAATCAGAAAACACCTCCACCCAATCAGAACACAGCCAAGCTCCCACCCAATCAGTTCATACCCCCACTGGCAGTTAAAAGGAATAAATAGCTACGATCACACATTGCTCCTAGAAGCACAAAGCCAAAAACACCAGCCTGAACATGACGAATGGGACTTTGTCGAAACATCGCCAAGACAGTTCCAATTTTATGCGGGAGAAAACCCGAATAACCAAAACCTACATACAAACACCCGCGAAAACCTCAGAAAACACACACACACACACACACACACACATATATATATTCAAAATTTTGTGGCTGACAAAGAGTTAGTGGGAGACTACTATAGCTATTTCAGGCTCACCCAACAGATAAGATAGATAGATAGATAGATAGATAGATAGATAGATAGATAGATAGATAGATAGATAGATAGATAGATAGATAGATAGATACACACACACATACACACACACACACACATCATATGTGTAGAATTGTGCACATTGTAATATAAGTTTGTAACTTGTTCCTACTGTTCTATAATTGTTGGTAAAAAAAACTCTGCACACCCAGCACCTTGATGAGCTCAAAAGAGGTTTGAATTGGCTGACTTGAAAAAAAATCTGCAATTCATAATTTTTTAATTTTCTTTTTGAACCCAATCCAGAATATTAAAAGGTCACACTGTTCTTCAAACAGATTTTGTATTTAGTTTGCTGAACTCAAGCAACAACAATATTGTTCTGCATAATTGCATTTCCAATCAGAGGAAAGAAAAACTGTTTGTTTTGGATTTTTTTATTCCAGATAAATCCCCAAGCCCCAAACATTACCCAGATATCAGCAAGAGATCTCAATCATTGGTGCACAGTAAAAACAACTTACAACCATTGATTTAGCTATTGCTCAAACTTACAACCGCACTTACAAAACTTACTTGAACTGGTCCTCGCACTTATGATTCTTGCAGTAGTCCCATGGTCACATGATCAAATTTGGGCACTTGGCAACTGGCATTTATTTACAGCAGTTGCAGTTTCTGGGGTCATGTGATCACCTTTTGCGACCTTCCCGGCTGGCTTACAACAAGCCAAATCAAAGGTGGAAGCATGATTCACTTAACAACCGTGGGATTCAGATGCAGTGATTTGCTTAACAACCATGGCAAAAAAGGTCATAAAATTGGGTATGACTAACTGCCTTGCTTAGCAATGGAAATTCTGGTCCTAAGTCAAAGATCCCCCACCCCCGCCCCTATATTGAAGGCACCAGAGGGGGACATGTTCCTTACCCCACCAATCAATTGATAATTTGACAAAAGTATCAGGGAACTGTTAATTAGATGTTACTAAACTATAACTCACAACAACTCTGGCCTAAAATGAAGAATGCTGGGAACTGTACTTCTGTTTCTGCTTTAATATTTTAAAGAGAATATGCAAGTAGTCCATGACTTACAACAGTTCCTTTAATGACTGTTTGAAGTAACAGCGGCAGTGAAAAAAGTGACTTATGACCATTTTTCACCCTTATGACCGTTGCAGCATCCCAATGGTCATGTGATCAAAATTCAGATGCATGGCAACTGACTCACATTTATGACGGTCGCAGTGTGTCCTGGGGTCATGTGATCCCCTTTTTTCAGCTTCTGATAAGCAAAGTCAATGGGGAAGCCGGATTCACTTAACAACCACGTTACTAACTTAACACCTGCAATGATTCACTTAATAACTGTGGGGGGGGAAAGTTCCTAAAACGGGGCAAAACACACTTAACAAATGTTTCACTTAGCAACATAAATTTTGGACTCAATTGTGGTCGTAACAGAAGACTATCTATAATGGCCAGCTGATGGTGGAACCAACAGTAGCATATAATAGATGGACAGAATTTTGTTGGCCTATCTGACAAATTGCCCCAGTAGCCAGGAGCAATGGAGAACATGGAGAGGTAGGAAAAATCCCCTACCTTGTTGGTTTCTTGGCTGCAACGTTGATGTTCTTCCCGCAAAGTACGTTGCCGATCTGGAGATACTTCAGCCCCTGATGCTGCCTGAATTCCACTCTCCCTCAGTGTTGCAATGTGCTCTTTGCGACAGGCCTTGTGATACAGAGTTTTGGCCTTCTCTGCCTGAATGTAGGAGTCGACAGTCATGAGGAAGAAGGGAATGAAAAGTCAAGGCATTTGGGACCCAGTAATCCCAGCAATCCTGTTTCTTAGTTTCCATATACCCTTAATTTATGGAGTCAGTAGGAAGGAAAGGTGTCCTCTCTGTAAGCAGCCAACACCAACCTCCTACTATTGATAAACTGAGGACTTTTTCCAACCTCATTCTATGGCTTCAAGTTGGACCTGGGTGGCAAAGGGTAGGGATCAGGGCAAAGGGAATGAAGGATACAAGCTCACAATAAAGATAAACCTGGTTCACCAGGCTTCTTTTGCTTCATAAACAACCTAAATTCTTGGATTCTATTCCTTCATGTCCTTACCTTTCTCTACACTTCCAAAGAACTTCCAAAGATCATATTCTTCCTACCTTCTTGAGCTTTTTTGTCCAGGGTTTCTGAGCCCGCTGGAAACCATTTTCTAGCTCACAAGCCTCCTTGAAGCCCCCGAAGAGCTTGCGGTGATAAGAGTTGTGCTGCCAGGATCGGATGGTTCCAGCATCCTCAGAGACCAAAGCCCTTTGCATCTCCATGTGTAGCCGGCTTAACCGCTCAGAGGCCCCCAGGAAAGCTTGCCATGCCCGAAGTAGGGAACCATATGCCGGGCCTAGAAGTGAAGGAGGAAGGATAAGGAATGACAGGATTTCATAAATTCCTTCACTGCAGCAACATTGATTCCTTGGGATTTGAAGAATGCAACCTTGATGCTTTATTGAGGAATTGGAGAACTGGAAAAGTGATCTAGGTAGAGAAGCCAATGAAAAATTGACTTCATTGGCAACTTTTACTCTGTTGTACTTGTGTGCAGGACTTTCCCCACTGACACAGATGTTAGTGCATAGAAGGTGAGGGTAGGCAGAGACCTTTATTTAGATTGGTAGACCAAAAATTGGCCTACTCTGAATGAGTCTTTTTCAACCTTGGCCACATGTGGGCTTCAGCTCCCAGAATTCCTCAGCCACCCATGCTTTCCACACATCTTGAAGGGGGCAACATTGAGAAGCCCTACTTTACTACAAGAGCCATGGTGGCACAGTGGCTGCAGTATCGCAAGCTAATTCTGCCGACTGCCAGGAATTTGATTGACTCAGCCTTCCATCCTTCCGAGGTTGGCAAAAGGAGAACCCAGATTGTTGGGGAAATAGGCTAATTCTGTAACCTGCTTAGAGAGGACTATAAAGCACTGTGAAGTGGTATATAAGTCTAAATGCTACTGCTATTTAAGTGCAATCAGCCAGATAAATGATATGGCAGCTGTAGAGTGTCTACAGACTATAGTTAAAAAAGTCAAGGTAGCAGCCGTGACTGTGTAATTGAAACTCTGTTTTTTTGTTTTTTATGTTCATCATGGTCCTTTGATTGCCTTATCACAGCCAACAGCTTGACTTTTTAAATGAAACACCACTGGCCAACCGGCAGTTATGAATTTTATATCAGGTATTTTATATCAGGTATTTCAGCTATACACACGGGCTACAGAAATAGGATTCACTATGTTCTATAATTCAACATTTATCACTAACTTTTGGCAGGACATTTCCTGAGTACAGAGCATTCTGGGAAACAGATTACCCATCTATGGTTTACAGTCTATAATAATACTATGACAGCATCCTTTGGAATGACATCACCTGGACTCTAGGAGATAATTCCAAAAAAATATATGCATCCTGAATTATTTGCAGATGAGTCCCAGCATTTTACTAATTGCTCAAGACTGCAGTTTCAGGTATGTTAAAAACAAAAGAAAACCTAACAGCATTCTCATATAATAGTTGTTAAAATGCTGCAGGGCAAATCTCTGGAATATATCGGTAGAACATCTAGATCAGTGTTTCTCAGCATTGCTGGCTGTGGAATTCTGGGAGTTGAAGTCCACATGCCTTAAAATTGTCAAGGTTGAGAAACACTGATCTAGATTTTCTTAGATAACTTTTAGAAAGCACAGTTTATTCGGCTTTTCATTTGCATAGGTTGTCAACAGCAACTATCCATGGAAAAACCGGTTTCTTTTGTAGGTATCAGAGCAAAGATATTACCATCTCGTCAGTAATACTTACCCTCCCATACACTTTATCAAGATGAAATCATCATTTCAAAGGGGGGGGAAAGTCACCCACTCCCATATCATGGGAATTATTATCTATCTTTTGAAGTTACAACTGGTGCTAGTTTTAGACTACAGAATGCATTAAAGTAGCGGTTCTCAGCCTGTGGGTCGCGACCCCATTTTGGGTCGAACAACCATTTCACAGGGGTCGCCAAACATCGCAGTCTGCCATTTTTTCCCCTTTTCCTTAGCTGTGCTACTCCCTTTTATTTTATTGGCTTTTGAAAGCCAATAGAATAGACTCTCTTGAATAGAGTCTAATTCTATTGGCTTTCAAAAGCCAATAGGAATTGTCCAGGCTGTCTCTGCCCTGCTGAGCCCGCCAAAAGCCCCAGTCTGCAAATGGTGCTACAATGAAGGCGAGCTGTCTGGAAGCTTCCACCCCTTCCTGCTGAGCAACTACTAAAAATGTAAGTAAAAGAGGGCCAGGGGTGGGAGGTGGGAGGCCGGCGGGCGCAGGGAGGGTTGCTGGTGCACGTGGGGCCTGGCGGGTGCCTTACCTCCCTTGGGCTGGGCCAGCTGGTGGCCCAGCCGGTGGTTGCCCTGTGCTGTCACTGCCCCTTGCCGGCTACGCCTCGGCCAGCGCAGGGGGAGGCACCACGCATGCGTGGTGCTCCCGGGCAGGGAAAGTCCTCGACTTATGATCGGTTGGGTAGTCCTCGATTTATGACCAGTTGGGTAGTCCTGGACTTATGACCAGTTGGGGTCACGGCATTAAAAAGGTTGAGAACCACTGCATTAAAGTATTATAACTAGCTATATCAACATTTAGAATAAATACAGCAGAGCTAGGAAAGTTGAAAGGAGAATTTTCCTGGAACCTTTTTTGAAATGGTTTCATAGTATATTCTAGGAATAAAAAGAACAAGCTAAAAGTTTGTGGCAAGAACAAACTTTAGAAGATCTTGAAATAGAGAAAAAGAAACTTTTCCTGTTGCTGAGCTGAAGCATTTTATATCCATGTGATCTCTAGAAAACTATACAACATTTGCTGTCCCTTATTTCCACCATTTCTACTCACTGCAATCACCATTTTGTGTAATGGGTGACAAAACCTGATTTTATATACCTCGAGGTTATCCTTGAATGATGTTGGACTAAAAGGAAAATACCTATTAGTACAGCAAGGAATAATAGGTTTCACACATGGACTGAGGACAAATTGAAGGCAGCATCATGGTAGAAAAAAGATGTTGCAAGGGTTCTTTGGGGCAATAGTTGGGTATAAGTGGGGAAAGACCCGAAAAGGCTGGTGGGATAATAATTAATCATCCTAACTCCCTATATTGTATTCTGTTTTTGTGGTGGGCTGATGCTTTGCCTACAGAAATAATTCAGGGTAAAGCTGCATAACTCAGAACTTGGAGACAATACATCATAGACACAAGAAACAGAGTTGGATTTACAATGCACTCTAGTTATGTTGTAAATAACTTGAGAATAAACATTATAGATGTGGCACAGTTTTGGCCTTAATCGTGAAGAAAATAGCAAGCATACTAATTTACAGTTAGAACATATGTTTCTATAAGTTCTTTTTCCCAACCCCCAGTTCTTTCAAACCTGCATATAAAGCAGACCAGAATTTGGAACATCCACAGAAAAAGGACGAAACCACTCACTTGCATCAACCAGGGGCCTCCACTTGCGAGTCCATTCATCCATCATCAGAGCATAGCTACGTTCAATCTTTGCCCGTTCCTGGAAACAGGCTACAATCTGGTCACAGACACGGTACCCATCATCCAGACGTTTGACAGTGCTCTGGTAGTGACTGGGCTGCAGGAGAAGGGATGGGAAGAATGGATGGGGAGTGGTCTCAGTCTGGTGGTGCAGGAATGCCCCTTCAAAATGCCTACCATTGAATGCCTTTCCTTCCAAATCACCTCCTCTGGGGTCCTCCTGTGAATTCCAACCAGAATCAAACCAATCTCTTGGGGTTCTTGACAGAGAAACCCAAGCACTATCATTAAATGTTCTGGGAAAACAAGCATAATTTAGGTATTATGTCTTTTAATTATTTTAGAAGAATATGGGGTAATAGGATAAATGTGTTTTCAAAACTGGAAGTCTTTGCACAACATGCTAGTCCATAATTTACCAAATTACAGTGTACTCAATTAACCCAGTTCTCTGAATTTGCACAACACAGAGAATCATAAATTATGAATTGGATTCACTCAACACAGTAGGCTAAAGTATGAGTAGCTGGTTTGAAGTTCAAGGAACATTGTTTTTAAGTCATCATTTATTTTTAAAAACTCAGGGTGGGGGTGGAATGTAACCAGACATAACAGAAAATTCTGATACCAAAGGTTGCAGTGCTATAGTCAAGTTCTTTTTTTCAGTTTAAGATCAAGTGATGTGATCATTAAAAAAAAAACCACATTAAGAGAAAGGGAAATCTTGAATCAGCTGACTGTTGATGTCCTAATGTGATTTTCTTCGCAACAATTTGGGACTGTTACTTTTTTTCTTCTATTTTTTTTTCAACTTGGACATGCCTACAATCAGCCTACAACTTGGACATGCCTTCATGCCTTTAGGAAATCAGAAACCTTCAGCACCTCAGCTCTCCCAATTTATCTTTTTGCTACCCTTTCATCAATGTCATGCAGTCTTGACTTCACTGAATTTTATCCCAAGGAATTAATATGGGGTTCCCTTGTAGCCAGTCCAGAAGTTGCAGAATACAGCAGTGTGTTACAGGTGGACTTTGGGCTGCCCATGTTACACCTCTCCTCTGAACCCACACAGGTTTCCAGTTTGCTTCTGGGTGAAATTCGGAGCCAGTCTAGTCTAGTGATTATGGCACCAGGCTAGAAAAGCAGGAGACTGTGAGTTCAATCTCCCCTTAGCCTTGAAAGCCAACTAGATGACTTTGAGCCAGTCACTCTCTCTCGCCCAACTCACCTCACAGGGTTGTTGTTGGGAAAAGGAGGAAGAAGTATGTTGGATATGTTCATCGCCTTGAGTTTTTGTAAAAATAATAAAGGCAGGATATAAATAATCAAAAAAATAAATAGAAGATTTAAAAGAAAACCCTGATGTGCTAATTTGTCACCCATGGTTGGGTTATTTGCCTCTTCCTGGTTGTTTCCACTCACCCCACTAGGTCCAATGGAAGCCTGGTATGTGATAGAGACATTCTGATCCGGTGGAGCATCGTGTAAACCTGGCATCTGAGAACTATGGCAAGTATCTCAGGTGACCTTCCTTCCTTCCTTCCCTTCCCTTCCCAATTAGCATATTGTTTTGTTTTTTGTTTTGTAGTTTGGCATGCAATGCAAACTCAACCCATTTGGTTATCTTAAGAGTCAAGGTGTTGTAGTTAGCTCAGTAAATGAGTCAAACATGTTGCATAAATATAAATTGAATCTCCTCCCCTTCTGACAAGCCATCCCTGTTATCAGCTACTTACCATCCAGAAGCTGTTGGTAGTTGGCTCATCAGCAGCCACCTCACTGTATATCACAGACATGGTGTCACCTGTTTAGAGGGAACAGGTCTCATAGTGCATCCAAAAGTATCAAATAAAGTACCCGTCTTCAACAATTTTTTTGGAATCATATTCCAGATGTAATAATGAAGAACCTATTATAACAGGATGTGAGAATGACTTTGGAAGACAGAAGGAAGAGCACAGACTGACCAACCGGCACATAAAAGGTATCTCAGTGCATCAAAGGAGAAGGATGTGGGACATGTTACAGAAGGGTTCCCCTCTATTTTTTGGAGAGTAAAAGGAAAAGAAGGGAGAAATACTTTATATTTTATTTCATAAAATTTATTGATTCCCCATCTTACCATAACGCAACTCTGGATGGCTTACAGACATAAAAATTGCATCTCCATTAAAACATGAATAAATTAAAACCAAAAATTAAAATCAAGGACACATGGGGAGGCAGAGGTGGAATGGAGGGAGGTGGGATCTGTTGTTACTCAATCAACTACCTCCACTGTGCTGTTTTCCCATTGGGGCCTTAAGCCAACTGGCAGAGCCAGGTCTTTAGGCCCTTATGAAAAGATAAGAGGATTGGGGCCAACCTCACATTAGGGGCAAGATGTTCCAGAGGGCAGGAGCAAAAGTAGAGCAGGCCCTCCTCCTGGATCCCGCTAGCCAGAATATGCAGGCTGACAGAACCAGCGGGAGTGGGTCAATCCAAGTGGGGTGAGACAGTCCCTCAAGCAACCTGGGCCCATGCCATGAAGGGCTTTAAAAGATTCCATTACTGTAACCTTAAAATAAAGACACGGTTAGTTCTCATGATTGTGCTTCTTGTCTGGACTACTTTGAAGAACTAAACACTTATCTTTAGGTTATATACATATTTCATCTTTACTCTGCTCCCTTGTCCAGAGTTCTTTGGAAACCCTGAACTTTTAAAAGATGTAGGGAGAGAATGTACTCCCTGCATAAATAATAGATCCTTTTGATTTAAATATAAGCCAGCTAATGACAGGTATACCATCTAATCTACATGCAATATTTTCAGGTAAAGCGTGATTTTTTTAAAAAAAATCCTTTTCTGTCAGAGTTCCAAGAGTTTTTTCATAAACCAAAGCATTGGGTAAGACACCCAGATCCTGCATTTATAAAATATAATTTCATTTATTTTCCTTGGATTAGTTTGCATTAAAAAATCTGAATAATAAACTAACCAAGCTAAGTCTAAACCATAACCAAGATGAATCACTTTGCCTGGCCTATCTACAAGAGTTGTGTTAACATAGACAGCCTCTGTTGTAAAATAGCTTCCTGTCTCTCAGGCAAACTTTTGGTAAATGGAGATATTCTTTTTTTATCTCCAGAGATAAGTTTATAAGGTGCTTTGTTATACACATTGACGATGGCTCAGTTTTCTGATTTCCCTCCTGTCTTGGGGGGGGGGTGATAAGAATGAAGTTCTTTGAATTTAAAATTATGATAAGTTTTTGTTAGAGAATTTTAATTTCTCTATTGGTGAAAAATAAATCAGAAGCTCTCACAGTTGACTGCATTTAGCTGATTCAAATAACTTTATATTTATATAAAAATATTTACAATACCATTCTTCTTTACAGCAACATAGCTTAATGAAGACTTCTTACAGAGACAGATCAGAGACAGACCTGAGACTGGAAATCCAGCTCCTAACTCAATACTCTTTTTGCACAGACTCAGTAGCACTTTCTTCACATTGGCTGACTGAGTTACCACATGACTCTTCCTGTTCATGAATATTCCAATACTCCTCCCTTCATGACAGGAAGAGACATCAGACCTATTGACTTAATACATTCTTTAATCATGAAAAACCTTGTGCCACTAACCTGGCCTTATACTGTACATCATTATTTGGCAATACCTTTTTCTTATATACCCACTTACAATCCACAGCTTTGGTTCCCTGTGGCAAAGTCACTGATTTAAATACTTCATGGTCTCCCATGGATTTCATCTCTTTATCCATGGCCTCCTTCCATCTTTCTTGTTCAGCTTTTGGTAATGCCAGCACCTCTTTATAACTTCTTGGCTCATACCACACATTGCAAACCTTTACCTTGCTAGCAGAATATCTATCAGGCGGAATTCCTTTGTTACATCGCTCTGACCTACGTAGTATTAAATGCTCCTGTGTCTCAAGTCTTTCTGGCTTCATGTCTTGTTCAGCCTCTCCTCCCTGAACATGGACATCTTCAATCATCATTTTTTTATCATTAGATGAGTTATTGTCACTAAACAGATCACTGTCATTAAGTGAGACATACCCAGAATTTGCATTAATTCTGTCCCAATTTTGTTCTGCAAAATTAGCAGACCTTGAAATTATAATTCTTTTACTTCCATCGCTAAAGCGATATCCTTTTGACCCTGGCTCATAGCCCACAAACCTGAGCTTTCTTGCCTTTTGCTGTCCCTTTCTTCTGATTACTTTCGGAATATGTACTCATGCAGTACTTCCAAAAATTCTCAAATGTGCCAGTGATGGCTTTCTCCCATATAGAATGGCATATGGAGTATTATTAATGGAGGAACTCCACAGCCTGTTAACTATATAATTGGTAGGCAATATGGCTTCTCCCCAATATGACCTGCTCAAACCAGAATCCTCCAATAATGAATCTTTCATTGTTTGCAAAACACCATTCCTTCTTTCAGCTACACCATTCTCTGCTGCTGTGTAAGGATTTGTACGTCTGTGTCTTATCCCCAACTGCCCCAACCATTGTTGGAATTTAGTTGACATAAATTCAGTACCTCTGTCAGTTTGCAACTGACACACTTGTTGTCTGTATCTTCTCTCTACAAAACTTACCCACTGTTTGAATTATTGTAGCACCTCTATCTTTGCTCTAAGCAAGTAGCAAAATGAATACCTGTTATAATCATCAACAATTACCAGTGCATATTTTGCTCCTCCCAAACTGGCTTGCATAGGTCCCACCAGATCTGCATGAACCAGCTCTTGAACTCTTTTTGTCTTGTGCTACATTTACTAACTGGGAATGCCTTTGACTTTGATGCTTTGCATACTGCACAGTCCAAATATGTTTTGCATCCCTTCAAATTTAGCCCTTCTGCAAAATCTTGCATTTGCTGCAAAACTTTAAAGCTTGCATGACCAAGTCTTCTATGCAGAAGATGAACACATGAATCATGATCTGTAACATTCTTAAATATATGGGAACATTGAACCCTTTGTCCCTGCAATACATATAGATTATCTTCCTTTATGCCTTCTGCACAAATATTCCCATTCCTTTTGATGAGACATTTCCCATTTACAAAAATGACCTCAAAACCTTGTTTGTCTAAATTAGACACACTTAACAAATTATGTTCCATCTCAGGTACACAAAGCACATTGGTAAACTTTGATTCCAAATATGGAATTTTTACATCGCCTTTTCCAATGACTTTTGCTTCCTGGCCATTTGCCAAAGCCACAGCTTCTTGGGCTATTGGAACAAACCTGCAAAATAATTCAGAGTCATTAACAATTGTTTGACTTGCCCCACTATCTATTAGCCACTTGTCTCTGTTGTTGCTATAGCAAACTTTTGCAACACCAAAATGTTCCTTTTGCAAAGCAGTCCTTTTTGGTTGCACAAATGTCCTTTACTGCAAACAGTTCCTCTGCAAACAGTTCCTTTGCAAATGTGTGCTCGCTCCACAAATGTCTTTTCCCGCTGAGCAGCTCTCTGCTTGCAAAATCTCTCCTTTGTTGCAATTTGGTCCGGGTCTGATCTGCTTGTTTCTTCTCCTCTGGAGACTTGCAGTCTGGACCCCCTCCTCAGGAATTTCTCCTCCTCATGGCTGCTTCTAAAATGGCGTTTTTCTTCTTCATTAAGCAAACATGCCTTTAAAGTCTTAAAATTTAAGTCTTGCTCTTCTTTGCACTCAAATATTGCAGAAACTGTGTCCCAGGTTTTATCTAAACTGTTCAACACCAATAAAACCTTCTGGGACTCAGGGAATTTAATCCCACGTTGTTCTAAGTCCAAAAATAAACTTTGTATTTTATTTAAATGCTGTTCCACAGATTCACCTGGTTGCAAACAGGCTCTGTAAAGTTTTCTTGACAATTGCACTATGTTGCAAGCAGAAACATTCACGTGCACAGCTCTCAATTTTAACCATATCTCCTTTGCAGTCTTTAAATTTGCAACATTTAGAAATTGTGCATCATCTAAATTCAAGATGAGATAAGCCATTGCTCTATCATGACTTTTCTGATCAACTGCTGCAAACACTTGTGGTGGATTTTCTACAATATACCACAGCTCTTTAGCTTTCAGCAAACATTCCATTTTTGCAGCCTATACAATGTAATTCTTCTGGCCTAAACGAGGCACACGGCTTTCCTTAAATTCCATTGCAGCCATTCTGCTAATTCTGCCTTGTTCTTATACTTTCTAAACACAGGCAATTTCTTCCAGCTTTAAATTACAATGCAGTCCTTATTAAGCTCTGGGCCCATAACCTGTTAGAGAATTTTAATTTCTCTATTGGTGAAAAATAAATCAGAAGCTCTCACAGTTGACTGCATTTAGCTGATTCAAATAACTTTATATTTATATAAAAATATTTACAATACCATTCTTCTTTACAGCAACATAGCTTAATGAAGACTTCTTACAGAGACAGATCAGAGACAGACCTGAGACTGGAAATCCAGCTCCTAACTCAATACTCTTTTTGCACAGACTCAGTAGCACTTTCTTCACATTGGCTGACTGAGTTACCACATGACTCTTCCTGTTCAAGAATATTCTAACAGTTTTTTAGGGCTTCCATTACAGTTTTTACATGCTTCTCTCTTCCAAATGTGTTCAATTCAAATGACAGGAAGCTGCCAAGCTAGGTTTTTTTTGTTTTTGTTTTTACAGATCTTTGGGAAAGGACTCTGAAAATCCTTACAACAACCCATTTACAGGACCATCTCTCCTCAGTGGTGTCTATCCATCCTGTTGGATCTGGCTGGAGAGTCATATTCCTGGAC